GCAGCCGCGCCCGCCCAGGGTCCCCGCGCTCCGCGGCCTCCCGCAGTGCGCCCCGGCTGCTCACCCGTCACCAGCAAGGACAGGAGAGCGACGACGAACACAGCCATCATGCCACCGCGGCTGCAGCGGAGATGGGCTACACGAAAAGGGACGCTAGGACTCGAGGGAGCACCGCAGCCCGACCGAGTGACGCGCTCCCGAAGGTTGCGATTCCTAGGCCCCACCCCTTTAGCCGCTTCAGGACTAGGTCTCGGCCAATCGCCAACTACGCCGCTCTACGGGAGAGACGTAGCCGAGGAAACGTCAGCGATTGGGGCAGGACCGAATGTGATGGGTGGAATTCTCTGCCAATAGGAGTCAACAATTTTAATAGCAGGGCGGTCCCGCCCGCCGGCCCACAATGACCGGTCACGAGATGAAGGGTAGGGCCGGCGGTGAGAGCAGGTGGCCCTGCCGGTTGCAGGGTCTCAAGAACCTACTGTGAAGCTACCCCCCAGGTGTAGACCCTTTGCCCAGCCTCGGGTGACGATCTACAACCCGTGTGTCTGTCTGTCCCCATCTTGTGCCTCCTCCCGCTGCGAATGACAGCTGTGGGAAGCGCTGGGCCGGCTTAGGCTTTGCTCCGTGGAGTCCACAGACCTTGAGCACCTGAGGGCTGGAAGCCTGGCGCCTGGGGGGAAGCCCAGCCCGCCTAGTAGAGGTGCTGCTTAAAATATAGGACTCTCGCTGGAATTTGAGTTGTACATAAAAAATAATTTTTTTAGTGTATCTGAATATTTGTTTTATATATACTAAAATAAGTATCCATTGTCTGAAAGTCAACTAACTGGGTATTCCGTTTAGATTTTTTATTGTTGATTCTTTTGAGACAGGGTTTCTCTATGTTGCTATGGCTGTCCTGGAATTCTCTCGGAAGACCAGGCTTGCTGTGTCAAACAACCTTGCCTCCAAACTGCCATCTACAAGGAGTGTAGATATCCGACAGAATATTAATTATTCATTCTTTTGTCCCTTGATTTCTAAACTGAACAAGGTGCTCACGAAAGCTATATGAGGGCTAGACATACTAATTAGACCAGGATTATCCCTTCCCACACCTCATAGGCTCTTACCTATGATGTAAGGCAAAAAGTGACATTGTCCACCATCTGTGGTTAGAAAAAAAATACCCAGATGATGACTTTGAAAGATAAATATGATTTTAATATGTAAGTGCGGGGTGTGAGAAGATTCATGTAGCATATATGGAAGGGAGAACACCTTCTTTGGTTGAACTCTTTTTTTTTTTTTTGGTTTTTTTGAGTCAGGGTTACTCTGGCTGCCCTGGAACTTGCTTTGTAGACCGGTTGGCCTCGAACTCACTGAGATCCGCCTGCCTCTGTTTCCCAAGTGCTGGGATTAAAGGTGTGCGCCACCACTGCCCAGCATCTAGTTGAACTTTTAACTGTCTAGTTTGGCAAAAGACATGGTTAGGACATAGCTAAAATAGTATGTTAAAAATTTAGTTTTTCTTTCTTTCTTTCAGTTCTGGGGATGGAACCCCAGAGCTTTGCACAATCTAGGCAAGTGTTCTACCACTGAGCTATATCTCAGCTAGAAAAAACTACAATTCATTCACTACAAATGTGGAACACCTCTAAAGTAGATGTGGGAGAGGGGAAAGGCTCGCTGATTCTCGGTTTACAGAATGATTTTCTTCTTGGAATTGACTGAAGGAGGAGAGGAGCTGCAGCACTTCCAGGAGCTTTCCAGGTACAGCTTAGCCAACCTAAGGACTGGAATCAAAAGTACACTCGGCAAATTCTCAGAATGCAGTTTCTAGAAAGCGCTATGTTTACCAAAGCCACTGTCAATTTCTAATGCGGTCTGGATTTTCTCACTTAACCTCAGGAAACTCTTAACTCTCAATTTTGTGTTTTTGTCTGACAGAGAATTTGCACAAATGTGACTTTAAGGAAATGTGGGGGGGGGGTTTTAATTAGGAATGTAAAATTATTATATTGGAACCAAAATGTCTAAAGCAGCTAATTTTGCCAACGTAAACTGTGCCATGACCACCCTAAATATGTTTTAATCATTTAAAAATCATTTTTTCAGCCAGGCAGTGGTGACACATGCCTTTAATCCCAGCACTCGGGAGGCAGAAGCAGGCCAATATATGAGTTCAAGGCAGTCTTGTCTACAGAGTGAGTTCCAGGATGGTCAGGGCTACACAGAGAAACCTTGTCTTGAGCCCCCCACCAAAAGACCAAAAACCAAAAAACAATTTTTTTTTCAAGGGCCAGGGAGATGGCTTAACTGGTGAAGGCACTAGCTGTGCAAGCCTGAAAATGTTAAGTTCGAGCCCAAACCAATCTGGATGTGGTGGTCTGCATCCCAACACTCCTGTATAAAAACGGGAAGCAGAGATGGGAGACTTATCTGGAAGTTCCAGGGCCAGCTAGACTGGAGTACACAGCATAGCATCAGAAACAAGAGAGACCGTGCCCCAACAAGGAGAAGGCTAGAACCAATACCTGAAAGTTGTCTTCTACACACACACACCACAAAATAAATAGATAAATAATGTAGTATGACGAGAGGCCGCTTGCTTGTTCCCAGCTGCCCAGACCCAAAGTAATCACACAGAAACCATATTATTTAAATCACTGCTTGGCCCATTAGCTCTAGCTTCTTATTGGCTAACTCTTACATCTTAATTTAACCCATGTCTATTAATCTGTGTATTGCCACGTGACTGTGGCTTACCAGCTAAAGTTCTGGCATCTGGTCTTCAATGGGGCTACATGGCTTCTCTCTAACTCTGCCTCCTTTCTCCTGGCATTCAGTTTAGTTTTTCCTGCCTACCTAAGTTCTGTCCTATCAACAGGCCAAGCCATTTTCTTTATTCATTAATGGTTATCACAGCATACAGAGGGGAGGGAATCCCACATCAAAATAAAAAACAACTTAATATAAGATCACTCTGTGTGTGGCAACTAAAGTTCCATTCTTTATCCACCTCATGGCATGTTGGAGAAAAGGTTTGAGCAGGTGGCCCTGCAAAGAATGTATCTAAATGAATCTATTTAGGAATATAATAAGGTAAAATGTAACAGAGCTTCCATGATTTCAACTTAAAGAAACATACAACCTTTTCTGTTCTTAAAAGAATTCTAGCCAGGCCGTGGTGGCTGGCACCTTTAATCACAGTACTCGGGAGGCAGAGTCAGGTGGAAGATGGACCTCCCTGAGTTGGAGACCAGCCTGGTCTACGTTCCGAGACAGGCTCCAAAGCTACAGAGAAACCCTGCCTTGAAAAACAAACCAAACCAAACAAACAAACAAAGAATTGTAGAACATTCTGATTTATTTTGATTGGAAAAATAGCAAAAGTTCTAAAAGCAGATTAGAATATAAAATAGCAAGCACTAGTCAATTTCACTCTTTCATTCTCTGTCTTGAGAAATACCTTTTGGGGGCACAAGATTTCTCTGTGTAGCTCTGGCTGTCCTGGAACTCACTCTGTAAACTAGGCTGGCCTCAAACTCACAGAGATACGTCTGCCTCTGCCTCCCTGAGTGCTGAGATTTAAGGCCTGCGCCACCACCACCTGGCCTCTTTTATTTTTGTTTTAAACTTGAAAGTCTTTTACATCAAAGGCCTCTTTGCAACAGAGGCATTAAAGAGGCATTAGAATTCAGCAAGATAAACACTGTATTAGATAGAAAGCCTTCTGTTTGTGGCATAGATGGAGATGCTGAAACCTAGGGGAGAGCAAATGTCATCAAGGTCACATAATGACACTGGCAGTTCTGCTTTCTGAATGCAACACTCTGGTTCAATCTTTAGTGCTCGTTAGTAATCTTTAATAAAGAACTGGTCATGTACATGGAAATATTTCGAGGTGGAAATGTGGTAGGACAATTTGTGCAATGATGATAAAGTAGTATCTTACAAGAACCCCCCCCCCAAGAACCCTCTCCCCCCAAAAAAGTGATAATCCATGCCTGTTTTAGATCTATGGTCTCTGCCTTGGACAGAGCTGCTCCTGTCACTGTGACTTCTCCGTCACAATGGGCTGAGATCTCTCAGAACCCAGGAGCCCAAATCAACTTTTACTCCCTTAGGTTGTTTCTGTTAGGTATTTATTTGGTCACTGTTATGTAAAAGTGACTAATATACCCAGTCCAATCCACAGGGACAACATGGAACAAGTTCTAAGACATGGGCTTTAGAACTGTAATATTGAGTTGGAAGTGTCACTCCTAGCCTGCCAAGCACTTTCCTCTTGGACTCCAACTCCCAATCTGCCAAGCTCTGACCCCACAGGGCATTTAAGCTTGCGCCAGAAAGAGGAACAGTGGTTTTGGGTTTGCCTGTGTGCCCCCTCTGTCTTCCCCTCGCCATGCTCTCCCAGTCACCTGGAACTGTGTCGTCTATTAAACGCAGGCATTTAATTTGGTTTGATCTGGTCTGATTGGAGTTCTTTTGTGTTCGCAGAGTGGCTCATCTTAAGATTTTTCCTAACAAGAATGCCTACCCACTACTCCTCAAAAATGTCAAAACATCAAAAAAAAATAATAAGGCAAATGAGTAACTGTCAAAGCCAAGAAGAGCCTAAGGAGACACACAGTGACTAAATGTACTGAGGTGTCCTGGCTGGAATCCTGCAGCAGATAAGAGTATTCTGATTAAAGGAGGGACTTTGGTTGATTATAATGTATCCCATACTGGATCATTAGTTGTGACAAATGGGCAAATACTAGGAAAGACTGGCAGTGAGGTATATAAGGAAACGATGCACTATCTTGCTAAATTTTCTGTAAATGCTAAAATGTTCTTTAACAAAGATAGGAAACATCATAAAGTAAGTAAAAATACAAGCTCCCCCCCCCATGTGCTTACCTTAATTGTTCTAGCATTAATAAAAACCTGATAAATCCAAGGAACAGTGGAGGAACAATCAGCTGATATCACGTTCCAAGTTTTCCAGATCCAAAAGATAGTGAAATCTCTCCAAGCCCTTTGTTCTCTCTTCCTGTCCCTCCCTACCTAGTTTACTCAGTCATTCAACATATCTATCACAAATTCAAGTCAACCAATCACTGACTCCACCCTTTGATTTAAGGTATAACTTTGTTGGCACAGCAGAGTGGCAGTATGAACAATTTTCCCACATTTCCCCCTTTTGTCTAAATAAAAAGGAAAGGGTTTAACTCTAACACAGTAAAA